ACGGCGTTTTCAACAAAAGATTGCGATGATGAAGGAAACTGCGCTGCTTCCTGGCAAGGTGCTTGGTGGTATAAAAATTGTTATTATAGCAACCATAATGGTAAAAATCTTGCTTGGTATGGTTTTAATAACGTGAAAACCAGTGAAATGAAAATCAAACCATGAAGAATTTTTATAAATATTTATGATTTCATGACAATAATCAATATCAATGACAATACGTCCTGTAATATGTCTTAAACATTTACACTCGTTGTTTACTATGAGAAAATGTGCAAAAAATTGGTATAGATAGAAGTCAAGAAAACTATAATCATTTCATGAAGTAATAAAAAATATTGTTTCAATCAATGATGTTGATGAAATATGAGTTTCTAACATGTTTATCTAAATGAAGCTGATGTAATCAAATCATACTCAAAACGACTGCGGCTTTTTGAGTTTGCAATGTGACTGTTTTCGTCTTCGTGGGCGTAAAACGAGTTTTCACATTACTAATGCTTACACAGTTACACGTTTAAAAGCATTTTATTAGTGTTATTGGGGGCATCAGCCATCTTGGGCGAGCCACATTGTTCGATAAGTCCCTAGAGGTTGGTTGCAATTCAAGAATATAAAACCCCTTAACACAACCACAATCGCAAAACCCACATCGCATTTAACTGGTTTACAACAGCAATATATGTGGTGCTTTAATATCATCTCAAAGAACAATCTCACGAAAGTTCAAATGATAAAGTGTTGATTGTGTTTGAACGAAGTGGACGCTGAATTCACAAGTCTCTGTTTCTATGTATGCTCACTTGAATGTTCTCTTGGAGTCGAAGTTCTCTGCTGTCAACATTAAAGTATGTCACTAGAGCGTTCGAATTTCCTGATTTGTGTTTATCATGCATATCCAAATTAACATATGTATTATATTTAAAGTAGTTCATGGCGGTATTTTGTTGAAATCATTCATACTTAGTAACCAAGTATTAATCATTGAAGAATTATTCAGATAGCTGTAACTTTAGATTTGTTGTCAACTTGACACTGACAAAATATTAGATTGAAGGCCAAGCCTATTGTAAAAATTCAATGCATTTGAAAACGACATATCAACAGTTTTACCAGGGATAAGCAGTTCTTCAAAGGTGGGAGAATGTAAGTTGTACTCATAATATATCTAAAGTTTGTAAATCCTATAATTACAAATGCTGCAAGATTGGCTACCGACTACTGTTCTTCACAGTCTGCAGAAACAAATGAGTTCGCGTAGCCAGAAAGCAAGATTTTCTTGGCTTTATAGGTTTTCGGAAAAGATTTGCCATACTATATTTAAAACATATGCATGTGCTGTCAGCCTGTCAGTGCTGATGCTTGTCCTCCAGATGCGCCTTGGCAACGATTGCTAGGATGTGAGTGACCTAGGTGCAATTGGTCTATACAAAGAAACAGTATTCTCACTTTACCGTATAACTTTGTGCTGTATATTTAATTAAATTACTAGCTGCGACTGGCCACCTTAGCGCTCCTATTGGTCAGAAAGTGCAAATTACTGGCTGCCACTATGCTTATTACATGCGTAATACGATATGCGCTACACAAAAAATTTCTATAAAGTGGAACTACTGTTTATTTCTATACTGCCATTAGATCAACGCCGACTGTTAAAATAAAGGCATCTTATTGATGAAGTTAAAGGTACGTTTGCTGAGTAAATTTTACCTCTGACATAGTATGACGGGTGCCTTTATGTCAAAGAAATGTGATGTCAATAAATAATGAATTATTATTAATTTAGGGCCTGTTTATATGAGCCGGGCAAGTTTATTATTTGATTCACATGACGCGGGCTAGCCCGACTAAGTACAGAAATAATTATTTACGCACGCAGCATAAAAGTCCAAATCCCGATACTTTATGTTGAAAGAAAGTCAATGATGTTATGCATTAGTCTATGGTCCACCGAAAGTTGTTCTTTTGCTTGCCTTGTATTTTGCATCGCATTGAATTTTATGAGCATGCGCACTAGTAAGATGTTTAACTCGGCATGCCGGTCTAGCCCGCCTTGTGCATTCACATGAGCCCGTTTATGACGAGATCGCGCCTCGTTTAAGCGACATCCCGGCAAGACAGGCCAGCCCGTCTGTCATATGAATCAAATTTGAAATTATATGTAAATACTAAAAGAGGTGAGATCTTGCTACTGCCGGGCTAGCTCGGTAAAGCGGGCCAGCCCGGCTCATATGAACAGGCCCTTATATACATACACTTGAAGTTCTAAGCACCCAGTTTATAACTTATGTTTAAATTATGTGTATAACTTACACTTTCCATAATTACAAATAGTTTATCTCTTGCAAATAAGTGTTTCATTAGCGTTACACAAGTTAATTATATTCAAGTAAGTCTTGAATGCAATGAAGCTTGGTATGTTGGCATGGCTACTATGTAAAAGAGAACATGCATGTTAACGTCTGATTGGATCTAGGTGCTCTTACATATTCAGTCATAACAAAGATATATAATGAAAGTTTTATTTTGACGAAACTTTTGTAATGGTTCAAAACTTATTATTGCAAAAAAAAACTTGTCCGTCGTGCACATGTGAAAATGGTAGCCGGTTTTTCTTACGGTAGACGTCGAATTATTGTAACGTTGCACTTTATTTAAACAAACATACCTACGTATAGCTTGATCGAATTTCTTTATAATTTATTTGACAGTGGGCGCTGATCCAACCTTGCATCTCTATAATTACAAAACATCTGTCGACGTTACAATTATTTTTAACTCATTATTGTAGAATGGCACACCATGGTTCGTCATCAACTGTCGATGCTTGGTTAGTGCTGATGATCAACATACTCAAATTCCTATTCTCATTTGACTGGTAACCTTCTTGATCTTCATTAGCCGACTATTCAGGCTAAAAACTGAAATGGCTTACCACTATACGGTTGTCAAAACGTCAATTAACATCAACAACAATAGTCCTTCTCACGACTCTACTAGCTTGGACGATCTACATCTACAAACATGTAACGATACTCTCGGGTTCAAATTATTTAATTTATTACGAATGATATAGGTTGGATTGCATTCCATATGACTTTCAAAATTATCGAGAAAAAAAAATTGTGCGTGTTTTTTTATTGTTTTTAAGTGCCATGCTGTGTACCATAACCATTGAACATAACTTTAACTTTGTAAACAGTAAGCTCAAATTTTTTGATGATATGGCGTAAAAAGTAATTTCCTCTGACGTATACGGCGCTCCACGCTGCTAAGTCTCCAATCAGTTCAACAAGTGTATTTAAATAACTACGTGTTTCTTCAAAAAGAAACACGCACCTATAGAAATACCTAGCTCAAATTTTTTTGATGATATGACGTAAAAAGTAATTTCCTCTGACGTATACGGCGCTCCACGCTGCTAAGTCTTCAATCAGTTCAACAAGTGCATTTAAACAGCTAGATGTTTCTTCAAAAAGAAAGTAGCTGATGTAAAGTTTTTAAATTAAGGCGACCCTACAACAACCAATGTCAAGCACTATCCAAAACATTGTTATTTCTTAGCATCAACAACATACAGCATACGTACATTTTAACACACGTTTTGCTGGATCCTAATCAAACGATGAAAATAGAATTGTAAAAGGATACTGCTAAATCTTTTCAATTTTTTATTAACAGTCTTTCTATCAATGCAAGCTTTGTTTTGGAAGTCACTCCCTTATAGGGTGGCGTCACGAAGAGCGTTTAATTGGAAATATTTGATAATATTGGTCCTTTTTTTTTAGCAAAACACAGTGCTCACTGCAATGCCTTGTGCTATCTATTATTACAACTCTTCATTATTTTTAAACTTTTTTTATTAAAAAATCTATATTATCGCAAGCAAGCTATCAATGAAGTACAACGTAATTAACAGCTTGTTAACACAATATCACAATACGTCTTTATTCATTAATTCTATATTAATCAGCTAGTGGTGTTGTTTTACGATAAATAAAGGCCTGTTTATTAAAGAGTAAATGTGATGTTGCAAAATCCTTCAAAACTACCGAGTTTTAAGTTTTGAGTCAATTTTGTAAACATCTTCCAAGTTGAGTGAATTCGATAAATAAATTAAAATAATGTCAAGTTTGTGGCTATGTGTGCAAATTGTTCAACATATTTAAACTATTTAAAGCAGTTCAATTACATGCTGAAATAAATTAGTCTGTGTAACTTTGTAAAGGCATCTTTATCCTCACAATTTATTCATGCTGGACACACACATATATAAATAGCCTCGATCCTCATCTCAACCTAAAGTGTTTACTTGTAAGACATTTGAGACAAGACAAGATGGTGAGCTTTATTTGTGCATTGGTGGCGATTACCTGCATCGTTGTTAATATTCAAGGGTAAGCTATGGCTTAGGGCAAAGAAGAACTTGGAAATGTTTAATATGATCATTGAACGCTATGAAGACTATATTAGACAGGCCTCTAAGGCGTATTTCTTTTTAAATTTGAATAATCTTTTTGCACAAGCTGTCGAGTTGTAGTTAATATTCAGTGCTGGGGCACTATACAAATATGATCAAAGCTTTGCAAGCTACGATACCGTAAACTAAGGATTTTTCAAATTAGCTCAACAAAGTGTTTTTTTTATTCAAGTTGTGTATGGGAGGAGTAAGACTTTTATATACATTACATCTTTTTAGTAGGTTGTTAGCTATGTCATGTACGTATTTAATATAAATCTGCCTCAATTCCTTGTTCATAGTGTGAAATATTTCATCTGAAAACTTTTCCATGACTCACTTTAATGTTCTTACTTTTGCAGAGTGAGATTAACAAATGAAAAGGAAGATGATTTAAAAGATTTCTACTCAAAATTCAGCCATGACATGAAACGCGCCATAAAATCCGATGAAACAATGCAATGAAATCACAAATTGCAGTAATAGACAGACAAATAAAAACACTTCAAACATATCACAAAATCTACAGACGGAGAAAAACATCTTCAAACATTTAAGTTAATTCTTAAACACAAAATCAATAGGACAGAAGTACAAAAATATACACTAGTGAAACTACAACAAAAAATTAAGAAAGTCGAATTGAAAATGATTGATCTGTCGTCACAAATGAAAAAACTTGATGCACAAATGGCAAAATTACAAACGGAGTTGAAAAGTCTTGAAAAACAATTGAAAACACTTTACATGGAAAATGAAAAACTTACAAATATCTCGGAAAAAGGTAAGAATGATTTTAAAAAAAGAAAATACACTTATAGATTCGAGTAAGGAGTAATATTTGTTCAATTAAAACAATATCTTTCATTTAATTTCTTTGTGTTAGTTAATATTTTTATAACCATCAGGAAAAGACTGCACAGATCTTTACAGAAAAAGTATAGGACACAATGGAATATACATGGTAAGCAAGCAAAACCTCAACCAATTTAATGCATTTTTTTCATTCATAAATTATATGGCAATTAAATACCTAGAATTAAAGATTTTTTTAAAAAATATCTCTTCGTCAATGCATTTAACTGTTCTTTTTGTGACCTCCTTGTTTTAACAAAGAAAGCAATGCGGTAGCTAAATTTGAATGTTTAGGAAAGGGGTAGAGAGGCATAATTTATGTATGAAAAGTTATCAAAACATAGACTGGCATGATATGAGCAAAAAAGTATGCTACACTGTTTATTTCAGTCGCTCGTTTATAAAGCATCAATAATTTTTTTTTACCATGATACCATAGGAAGGCAGACCTGCCAGCTTCCCAATTTTGTCGACTGTCATCTAAATCTTAAAGCAAATGTTCAGTTAACCAAAGATTTAATCACTTCTTCTGCTTGAAATTTTTGGTATCACATGTATTTGGTAAAAAAATTTTGAACGAATCAAGTCTGAGTAAATGTTTAATTGAGAATTGTAAAAACAAACGCACTTATGAACAGAAGAACTCATAAAAGAGAATTTTGTAAGAAAAAGCAAACAGAGAACACCCAAGTGGATTTCTTGTTCATGAAAAGAAAGTGCGTGGAAAATTTGCGTGCATAACATATAAAATGCATAAATATTTATGGATATTAAATACCCAGTCCAACCTGATTTGTTCAAAGTTTTTTCACCATCTACGTGTCAATAAAGAAGGGTGAAAGTGATTGAAAATCTGGCTTTTAGAAGATTTGCCTTAAGATTTAGGTGAAGCCAATAAAATCGAGCGAGTTGATAGGTGTTCCTGTGGTATAAAAGAAAACTTAAAATGCTGAGTCAGCATTGAGATTAACTCCAGGGATAGAGAACGTAAACAACTACACGTTTATGACCATATAAGGAATTCTAAAATGTTATTATGAAAGTTACTCATATCTGAAAACTTGCCATTTTATATTGTTAATTTTTTTCTATTGAATTAAACTGTGTTGAGTTTATATAATCGAAAACAACTTCGGTATATAATGTACAAAATAGTTATAATATTACAAATTAGCAAAATGGATCTATGCGCAGGAAAGCTGTGTAGCAATTTGCTAGTAGTATAGGTTTAATGAGTTACAAAACCCATAAGACGTACAATGCAATAGCTTTTTTAAGAAAACTTTTTTTCAGGGAAAAAACTGTGCAGATCTTTACAAAAAAGGTAAAAAAAAGAACGGAGTTTATCAAATTGATCCAGATGGCCAGGGTTATTTCGATGTTTTCTGTGATATGAAGACATCTGGTGGTGGTTGGACTATGTTTCAAAGACGTCAAGATGGAAGTGTAGACTTTTATCGAAATTGGAAAAACTATACACAAGGATTTGGTAATCTTACTTCTGAATTCTGGCTTGGATTGGATAAAATATACCGACTAACATCAGCCAAGAGAAATAAACTTCGTGTTGACTTGGGAGACTGGTCAGGAAACAAGGCATATGCTGAATATGATTATTTTGCTGTAAAGAATGAAACACATAAATATCAGTTAAGTCTTGGTGCATATTCTGGTGAGTCAATAAGTAAATATAAACATTTGATGAACAAATTTATCAACAATATTTTGATGTATGCATTATACGTTGGAATGATTCGAGTTTGCGTAGACAGGTCTGCAATTTTGGGAAAAACATAGATATTTTAACGGTTGATTTTGAGCGGAAGTCTTGTTAGATCTTAAAAATTATAATCAATTTGATCTTACAAACTTACAACAAAATACATTGAACAAACATAAATATCATTTTGTTATGTGAATCATTAAGTTGCACCCTACGAAAACAATTTTTGACTTACAATAAGAGATCATTCATGGATTGTGGTTACCGTATCAATAAGATTAAATGAAAATTTAATTGAAGCTTTGTAAACAAGTAATGAGCATGCGCTTAAAACATTGCTAAATTATGTGGACTTAAATGAACATTAAAACCTTTTATATAAAATGCATACGAGCCTGCCAGAATATTTATATATGTATGAATAAAAAAATGATAGCATAACGCTCTATCCAACAACTACTAACGAAAACAACCTTGTCTAACAACATTTGAAAAATTAACCTTGCACTCCTTAAACCCTGCTATACCGGTCACAAGCCCAGGACTTATAAGTAAGGCTCTCTGCTTTTGAGTAGACTTGTCTTCTTTATAAGGAAGAGGAGTGGAAGGTTAATTTTCAAATGTTGTTAGATAAGGTCGTTATTGTTTGTAGTTGTTAGTTAAAGCACTATGCTATCATTCTTTTTGTTTCATAACATTCCAACTATTTAACCTTAAGAATAGGTATAAATAAATATAATATATTTATACATATATAAACACTACTGAAATTCATTCAAGTTTACGTGGATAAATTTACATATAGGAAAATGAAAAACATAAATATAAATTAAGTCTCGGACAACACTACAGGTATATCATCAAGTCAATAAAGAATTTTAAAGGTCTATTATAATAAAAATTAAATACCATTCATTACTTAACATAGGAGTGAGAGCAATGAGTTAAGGCTGGATGTAGAAATAATGTTCTGGGAAATGAGAGTAGGATCAAAGTCAAAGTCTAGACAAATTTTACCTTTGCAATTTATTTATTCCATTTTGAAACATGATTTACAGCAAGTTGTTAAATAAGTCAGCTACAACAACTTTATGACAAACGGTAACAATATTATAATGTGATTGTGGTTGGATCTCCCACATGCTCTCATATGTGAAATGAAAACTCAGTGTTGCATATTATATTTTAACACTTACATCAGTCCTTCCTTTTTTACTACATAAAATAAAAAAAAATGATTGGCAAATCTCACAAAAGCCCCCAAAACAAACGATTGCTATAAAAATCTTCTACCAACGACAAAAAACCCTTTTGGGGGGAGTTTCTGCAAGTTTAAAAGAGTTCTATAACTGCATTAAATGCGATCTTTAAAAGGTTTTACTTTTGTAGGAAATGCTGGAGATTCATTATCCTATCATAATGGCATGGCGTTTTCAACCACAGATTCAGATAAAGATAAATATAAAGGAAACTGTGCCTTTCGCTACAAAGGTGCTTGGTGGTATAACAGCTGTCATTCTTCTAACCTGAATGGGCTCTACTATAGTGGCAACCAAGACAATAACAAAGGTGTGACTTGGTATGCTTGGAAACGTTTCATATCCTTAAAGTTCACTGAGATGAAAATAAAACCATAAAGAATTTCCAATGACTGTGATGTCATAAATTTGATCATTATTTCTGATGAAACTTTCAACATATAATAACAAAAAAGAACTTTTATGTCTTTTAAAAATCCTTTATAATCATTATCATTTAAAAAAGCGTTGAAAAAATTGTTAAAAATGCTGTGGTGAAATAATATTTTCCCTAAATTAGAGCTGATTTAGGTAATTATGTGATTCTAATGTTACGTCTTTTCACTCATTTTTTAATTAGATATTGCTCTGTAAGTAGATAATTCTATATTTTCGCCACGTTCCACGCAATCTTGGTGTATCATGCATTTCATGCAATTATCCTACATCATTATTCACTATGTAAACAATGTCGCTTTTGATTGGTCAACTTCCTGCAAATAATTCTACATATCTGTAGGTAAGACGTCTATTTACAAATAACAGTTTCTACAATTATGGACGTCATTAAAAGCCGGTTTTGAAAAAAAGTAAAATCATAGCGATGTTTTCCACAGTTTCTAAAAACGATGTCAAAGCTTTGAAACAAGAAGCATCCAGAAAACACTAAAAAAGCGGCGAAGATGGCTTTGAACATGTTTACAACATATTAAAACGAGGCGAACTTAAATAAACCAGCTGACAAAAAAAATGAACGAAGGTTTGAAAAATGTTTTATATTGATATGTGTTAATAATATTTTAGTTAGTTGTATGTCCTATGTTCATTGTAATGTATGTCCTATAGAAGATTTTCTTTTGACTGAGGTGTCCAATGTGTCGTTTTCTAGTCGTGCCTAATTGGTTTCTATACTGACAATTGTGGACGTGTCTTGCGTAGAGAACTTGGCTGCACCGGTTGCTCATTTGGGTCTTCGGACTCAGATTGTTCATTTTCTTCCTCAGTACGCTCTTTATCAATCTTGCCCTTTCGTTAACGGACGCCAGATCTCTTCTTTTCCGTGTGCATATTTACCCTTTCGAAATAACATGGTACGACGTGGGTGCAAACTTCTGGTTACACACTCCTTTCCTTCATGTCCTGCACGTCTGGTCTGGTCGTATACGCACTGTATCTCCTGGGTTGAGATCTATTAATGGCTTGCTGCCACGGTTGTAATATTTCGCTTGTTTTTCCTTTTGTTTGTCAACAATTTCTTCATTCGATGGGTTAATTTTGGCTTCAATAGTTTCCTTGCCGTAGGGAGAAGCGTTTTTGTTCACATAGCCCACTATGTATGTACGTGGATAAATAGTCCAGTTTAGTTTACATATCAGTGGCTTAATTATCCTCTACCAATAGGAAATAAATAAAACAACATTACAACACGGAATCAAAATTATAAATGTTGAAGAAAATAATCACATTGCTGAAACAGTTTATCGTTGTCTTGGTGGATTAAAGTCATCTCCGAATCATTAGGAATGAAATGAGTAATTTAAAGCAAAAATAGTCAGCGTCGTTCTCGTTGACAAACCGCGCTAAAAAGAAAAGCAATGATGCGCATGCGTATTAATTTTATTTTGCAGTACCCAGCCATTGTACCCAGAATGCTCGCTCTGCAATCTTCAGAAACGTAGTGAATATCAG